TGTGATTCTATGATTATTTCCAGCTGTTTTATAGGTGCTTATGTAGTGAATTAGTTTTGGTTTGTTTTACTGAATTTCATTTTAGCACACGAACACGATTTATATCCTAAGGGATCAGATATCAGCCTGACTTCTAATAATTGAGACATCTGATGAAAAATCTTGACACTCTCCTGTCCCATGTTAAGACGTATGCATGGCTGCTTCCATCTAACTTTGTTCTGAGAGATCCTGTTGTCTTGAGGTGTCCCTCAGTAGACACAGAAGTGGACACCAGCTGAAGAGTTCCTGTATTACAGAAATACATTGTTCTCAAATCCTTAATTATTTGCTCTCTTAGCCTTCAGTAGACATTAAGTGTGCACCATGTTCGAAATAGTTCCTGTATTTGAATGAGGTCTACTATAGTCTATTGAAATTTTCCAGTTCTGGTGAGTTACTGTCTCTTTGAGTTCAGTGTCCTTAAAATAATGTTTAGGTTGTTAACCTTGTTTTCCTTTAAAAAATGCTGATACATGATTAAAGCTCCCTGAGACCTTTGGGATTATTATTTAAGGAGTATAACAGGAACACAGAGAGCATATACTCAGGCAAAGACTTGTATTTCTCAGATGGAGATGGCTTGTGTCTGACTGGCTTCACATGTTGGCAAAAGAGATCACATCTCTCTGCACCAGTCCCCTAAATACCCAGCGGCTGTGTCAATTTTAGTAAATTAAATGTGCCTATACCACTCTTTGATGTCTAAGTTCACAGCTGACCCAGAAGTCCTGTGTCAGTACTTTTCAACTCATTTTCACTCTAAAAAGGATGATAATGTTCCAAACCATTTGGAAATGGTCCTTTGCAATTTCCAGTCTAGATGAGCTAGTGCTGGTTAGCACCAGCAAAAAAAAATGTGGCATAGAATGTTTTACAGGTCAGCTGTATAGACAGTAGAATTCCAGTGCCCATGAAATGCACTCCAGGACTCTAGAAGCTGGTATGAAGTCAGAGTAGCATAGATTCTGTCCAAGTAAAATGTTTCAAGTTCAAGATTGACTTTATCCTTTCAAAAATCTGCAACAGATTTTGGAATAAATTCTAAGTCAGTACACTTGTGAATAAAGATATGAAAAAAGTAATGTAATTTTGTACTCAGTTGACCAGTGAGAGGAGATAGTTTATTTTATTTGATATTTTGGCAGAGGTGAAGTAAACCATTGTTTATAAATTATGACCATTAGGAATATATGGATATATAGGAAATTATTGCTCTCTTTCAAAATTAGAAACAATTTACAGGATGTCTTAGAAATGTAGTAGGAAATGGTCTGACATTGGTAAAGATGTTAGGAAGAATGTGTTCCATTTTTTGTCTTTTTTTTAATGTGAACTTTGTAAATCTGTATATTTTTCTTCCTATGGTGTTTCAGTTACTTAAGTTTTTTCTTTTTAACCTGCATTGTTAGAAAATCTGGAAAGTATTACGTTTGTTTTGTAATCAATATTTATGATCTGCCAAAAATATAGTAGAGTGAAAGTATAGATCAAAACCAAAATACTCCAGAAGCTGTAATACACATATTCTTAATTACAACACTGAACATAACATGAATACTATGCATGCCAAGTTTATAGCATTAGCATGATCTAGCAGGAAAACAAACGAGTATTTCAAACAGAAAGGAAAAGAATCAAAATATTTTTGTTTTCACTGTATCTAAGTTAACATTATGATAATGTAGATTCATGCCATTCAGATAAGCAAATACCAGATTTAAAAATAATGTTGATAATAATTCTGTGTTTGTTAAGAGATCTTTCACCAATTTGTTGGGTTTTTTTCCATCAATTGCTACTACAGAAAAGCCATGTACCTTATTCTGTTCACTGGCTGGGAAGGATCAACCCATTCTTCTAACAGAAAAGGTGATGGATGGGACATCTTGTGGCCAACGTGGGTTAGATGTCTGTGCAGATGGTAGATGCCAGGTATGATTTACCTCTTTTGAACCTAGATACACCAGCACACGTATGCAAGCACCTATATTTGTTATGCCTATGTGTTATTTCTCTGATAGCATGTTGACATATGCATGACCTGAATGGCTCTTTTTGTATTATATTAAAATATTTTAAGCTAATTTCACTCAGTGCAGCTCAGTATGTGAAGCAGCTGTTAGCTTGGGAATGTGTATCTGTGATGGTAACGATTATAACAAACAGTGGCAGAGTGCAAAATAAGTATAACTGATTTAATCTTTCAAGGGGAGCCTTAGCTTTCAACAGATTGGTGCATTTTGCCATGGGTTGTACATATGTATGCCTAGTTCTGCCTTTGTCAAAAGTATAGAAGTTCACATCTAAACCAAGACTGAAGGAGCTGAATAACAGATAATGAAAGCCGAGTGCTTATGCTATTCCTGATTTTCAGAATTCGTGTAGTTCATAGAAGTTCTTTTGTCACTTTTATAGTGCCTCATTTGGAAACTCTCCTATCTAAAAATCCCACAGGGCTGGTTTTTTTTTCTTTGTCTGTTTTTCATTGCACACATTGAATTCAGTAGAAAAAATAACCTTTAATGCAAACCCAGCATTGCTAGATACTGTACTAACTTCAGCAAAGTAACTGATAGATATATGCATGCATGCATATATGTACATACAGTTACCCTTTCTTAAGTGACTGGGTTCATGCAACAAGAATACCCTGAAATACTTGTCCTCTGAGGAGGATGAGGGGAGACCTTTTTGCTCTCTACAGCTACCTGAAAGGATGTTGCAGAGAGGTGGGTGTTGGTCTCTTCTCCCATGTGACAAGTGATAGGACAAGAGGAAATGGCCTCAGGTTGTTCCAGGGGAGGTTTAGATTGGATATTAGGAAAAGTTTCTTCACTGAAAGACTTGTCAGTCATTGTAACAGGCTGTCCAGGGAAGTGGTTGAGTCACCATCCCTGGGGGTATTTGAGAGATGTGTGGATGAGGCGTTTAGGGACATGGTTAAGTGGTGGACTTGGCAGTGTTAGGTTAAAGGTTAGACTTGATGATCTTAAATGTCTTTTTAAAGCTAAAAGATTTTGTGAATCTTCTGTGATGCTAAAGGCAGCTTTATGAAAAACATGGCCTGTGTCTCAATAGCTTTGTTTTCTTCTCTCACAGAAGTTTGGCTGTGATGGCATAATAGGATCTCTGGCACGTGAAGATCATTGCGGTGTATGCAATGGTAATGGAAAGTCATGCAAAGTTATTAAAGGTGATTTTAACCATACCAGAGGAGCAGGTTAGTTTGTTTGTTTCAAATACTCAGGAAACCAAGTAGCTGTTTGATTACTTTGAGCATTGAGAGCCTTAAAAAGCTATACTTCTTGAAGTTAGGCAGTTCCTTACAAGAACTTCAGTTCTACCTTTTTTAAGATAATAATATATGAGTATTTTTAAATTTAATTGCTGCAAAATTATTGCAAATTGTTTCAATTATAAAATTAAGAAATTATCTGATACAATATTTCATAGAAGACCTTGATTTTTAAAAAATCTGTCAAATGAAATTTATATTTTTAGTAAATAAATTAACTGAATTCTTACAGTGGTTAGATTCAATTAGTGTTCTTCAAAATAAATATCCAAATTATGATGTTACCTAGAGGAATGGCATGAAACCAAGCCAGGCAGTGGGAAAACATAAAGCCATGTGTATGAAGTAGTCATATCTTTTCATTTTTCTTTGTGAGTAGTGAATTTATTCAATCATAACGACATATCATAAAAAGCAAATGCATTTTCTGATGCCAAATAAACATGGTATTTTCAAACACTGCTGTGATATGTACTTTGAATGAGAATAATTAACTGCCTTGAGCACAGTAGTGCTGACAGAGCAGAGGATTGAAATCCTAATTCTGTGCACCATGCACCAAGTATACCTTCTCTCCAATAAGTCTTTGAAACAGCATTTGGCCAACTGTCCTCAGCATTTGTTTACCATTACACTTTCAGTTTCTTGAGTAGAAAATGTGCAGAACTTCAAAACAGTAAGAAAATGAAATCAAAAAAGCCTGTTATTAGAAGCAGATAGTATATATTTGAAAAACCAAGGAATTCAATTCATTATAGACTGAAGTATAGTACTTCAAAAAAAAAAAAGTTAGACATAGTCTTCAGATGTCTGGCCTCTCTTAAGATGAAGGGAATGCAGAGCAAGAATTCCAAACCATGGATGAGTCTGGAGGACTGCAAGATCAAAAACTACAAAGAAGGTGGCTGCTAATAGAAATTGCAGTGTCAGCTCTCTTCTATAGCTAATCTGACTACCCACACACTTTCAAGTTTATTCAGGGTTCTTTGTCAATCCACAGTATTGTGGTATTGCCCTCTAAATAACCGTGTAATTTATTTTCCTTCTCAAGAAGCTGGACTATCAGCAATAGTTAGCAAGTGTTATTAGCTCTTAAAGAAATTGAAGATAAATAATGCTGCTTTGCAGCAATTTAATCTTCATGTTTCAGAGTTATTGAAAAGGGATTGTAAATGCTCAGTATTCTGTTACAGAACATTACATAGCTACACAGAATAAAACTTGGTTTACTATCCACTTTTTGAAGTTCACCTAGATAATCTAAAATATGTTTTTATTTATTTATAATATTCCTGTTTGCACGGTGTTTTTCACCTGCATCACCCCTTGCACGGTGTTTTTCACCTGCATCACCCCTTTTTGCTTAAAGCAAATTGCCCAACAACATTCCTTAGTCTCACACTCCAAAGAAGAAATTGTAATGTAAATGAAATAACTAATAAGCAGACTAAAGCCATTTGTAACAGGGTTTGAATGTGTTAAAGCAAGAAGAGGGAGATGAAGCACAAAATATTAAAAAAAAAAAAAAATCAACCAAGCAAACAAACAAAAAAACCCAATAACCAAACAATGAGAGGATGTTTGGTTTTTACTGCCATATCATTTGTCTCCTCACACTGAGTGAAGATGGAATTCTTTTATGGTTGTCTAGTGGTGATGATGGCACTAAACTGCTTGGCCAAACACAACTTCATCTGCTCCAAACTCAACCTGCCGAGGCTCACTGGTTATTATTTTTTACTCTGCTATACTCTTTTAATTATATATCATGCTTTATATATTACACAAAATGTACAGTTCCATAGTTTGTTTCAACATTTTGCAAGAACCCTCCAACTATTGCTGTATAGGTTATAGCATGTTACATTTTAGAAGCAAAATAAGGGAAAAGAAATGAAAAAGCATACAAGATGTAGTTTTCTACACTTTTATATTTAACTCGGGACATCTGGTCTCATGCCTAGGTTATGTGGAAGCATTGGTAATACCTGCAGGAGCAAGGAGAATCAAAGTTGTGGAAGAAAAACCAGCTCACAGTTATTTAGGTAAATGTCATACGTTTTAGTGTTCATGTCTTGTTTTGCTCAGCACTGAAGAGTGTTAGCTAAACATGCTTTTGTGATGAAACAAAACTGAGTGGAAAAATAAATCTGTGAAGAATACATTTAAAGAAATTTTGTAGAAATAACAGAAGAATGGTTATAGCACCATTTGTCTTATAGGTTTTATTTTGAACTTTTGTCTCATCTCATTTTGTTTAGCGAATATTTCAAAGAATGTATTTCGATGATTTAAGAAAAATTTTAAATGCAGAATTTAAGAAAAATTCTGCATACTTCAACAACTTCAACCCCTAGTGACAGGACAAGGGGTAATGGGTTTAACTTGAAAGCAGGGAGGTTTAGATTAGATATCAGGAAGAAGTTCTTCACGGAGAGGGTGGTGAAGCACTGGAACAGGTTGCCCGGAGAAGCTGTGGATGCCCCATCCCTGGATGTCTTCAAGGCCAGGCTGGATGAGGTTTTGAGCAACCTGGTCTAGTGGAAGGTGTCCCTGCCCATGGCAGGGGGGGTGGGACTAGATGATCTTTAAGGTCCCTTCCAACCCCAACCATTCTATGATTCTATGATTCTATGAATTTCATTTTTTCATCTTGAAAGCACTAAAGCAAATACTTAACATTAAAACTAGTGAAAAGAGTTTTCCATGCTGAAACATGGAATCAAATGACACTGACCTACATATAGCAAATCACCAACAAAGTCAAACAGAACTTGTAAAATTAGACAAGAAAGCATGAAAGTATTTCCTTGCATTATTTTGAATTGTCTGAATGTTTTAACGGACAAATTTATAATTGCAATGGTTTTGTTGTGGTTGTTTTTTTTTTTTAAAGTCTGTCCATTTCTATGAAATTGTCTTTCATGGAAAACAAAAATTCTCTTTTAATGAGTTCCAAAGCTGTTGTGTAGAATATAATTTGATAATTTGATTGTTGCAGGGTTCAGTTGAATGCATGAAATATTACAATTGGTACTCTTTCATGCACTGCTTAAGTTTCAATTGAGAGAAACATAGTATGAGAAATAGGACAACGAAATTAAAAATGCCCTGGTTTGATCACTATTCTTAGTTCAGTTCATAAGTAATATCTACCTTTTAAAAAACTTTTACCTGAGCGTTCTCCAAACTGAGAGAATGTTGAAGATGGTCGGTCTTAATTATGACAGCTTAAGTTACCAGTGGGTGACCCTTAGTTTGTCATGAGGTCTGCACCTGACCTGTTTAAGATATCACATGAGATTTAGAGATCTGGATTATTTCATTGTTCGTCAGTGGACAATAGACATGGATATGTAAGAGTGTCAAATCAGTAACTGAATTTTCATTGACATGTTTTCTAAATTTTCCAAGGTTTTTTTCCTTCTGTGTCTACTGTGTTAACATATGTGGACAGCAAAAATAGGATTTTTTTTAATAATGCAAAAATAAATAAATGTTGGAACTGTGTTTAGGGAATTTAATTCTTTTTTCATGAATAGCAAATTGATTCATCTCTTACCTTACAAAATGGAAAAAGAATGTATTTTTTTTTATGACCATGAAATAATGTCAGTCATGCTGCTTATTTTAGAAAGGTGCTAATTAGCACATAATCAGCTTAATTGCTTATCACTTTAATATTGCTTTTCTTAATTTCAATAATGTCGCTCTGAATGAGGATCAGCCACTGTTCCACTGCAATAATTTGTAAAGCCTTTATGGAGAAGCAGGAACAGGTCCATTACTGTCTGTTACCATTACTGTATACAGGTCAGGCCCCATAATGAATTAATAAGATTGGTTAATGGTATATCACTGTACAAATGACTTGCAGTCTAAAACCTGAAGTTTTTCTGTGCTAATTGGAAATGAAATTATTTTTTTCAGCTGAACTAAAGAAGTACATTAGCTGCATCATTTTTCTCAGATATGTGTTCAAGCTGCTTCAGGGATATAGACCCTTTGAACCTGAAATTTAACCCTGCATGACATTGTAATTGCTGATTTTCTTACAGATATCAATTTCATAGGTGTGTTGTGTTCTGTCTGATTTCCATTATGGAATATTTTTCCTAGTAAAAAAAAAAACCAAAACCACACAGAAAACCACAATACATTGGACCACATTTTGAGGGAGGAGGGTGTGGGAAAGCAGAGAGGGTCTGTCAAATAACACAGAATTTTGAACCCCTAATTTCTGACAATAATAATAGTTTTGAAATACTTTAGACCAAATCCTTACATTCTGTAATTTCTGATTTCAAAGAAAGACAGTGGAAGATCTGATCCCATAGCAGAGGCCAGAGTCCACTGAGATTAAACATGTTTTCTTTTCATATAAAGAGGGCCATGGAAGATGGTTAATAAGTAACACCTTTTGAAATCATTTTACATCAAGATGTAACAAATGCCCTCTATATAAAAAGTGGATTGACTTTACAAAGCTGTCTTGAAAAAGAGCAGGGAACAGGTTGAGAGCTTCTGGGTTAAGTTAGGGGCCAAGCCAACAAAGGCAACTTCATGGTTGGTGTTTACCACAGGCTGCCTGACCAAGGGGAGTCTGCTGATGAACCATTCTTACTTCAGCTACAGGAAGCATCATGCTTGCAGGCTCTGATCCTGCTTGGGGACTTCAATAACCCAGTATGTGCTGGAAAAAAAACAGCACAGCAAGCTTTAAACAGTCCAGGAGAGCCTTGGAGTGCACCAAGGATAATTTTTTAATCCAGGTGATAGCCCAACCAGAGAAACAGTGGTACTGGACCTTGTTCATTTCTTACCAACATAGATAAACTATTTATAGAGGTCAAGATTGGTGACAGCCCAGGCTTCAGTGATGATGCCATGGTGGAACTCATGATCTTGAGGGATATGGGCCAGATGAAGACTAAAACCAGAACTCTGAATGTAAGGAGAGCAAACTTTAAGTTGTTTAAGGAACTATTGGACAGGACCCCCTGTGAAATTGTCCTCAAGGATAAAAGAGCAGAATAGACCTGGCAACAATTTAAGGACACACTTCCTAGATTGCAAAAGCTCTCAATTTCTACATGGAAGAAATTAGTCAAGAAAGGCAAGAGATCAGCATGGCTGAGTAAGGACCTCCCGGTCAAACTAAAGTGAAAGAAGGAAAGGCACAGGCGTTGGAACCGGAGATATATATCCTGGGAAGAATATAGGGATGCTGCTCAGTGTATAAGTATGGGATCAGAAAAGCTAGGGCACAGTTGGAGCTGAATTTGACAAGGAATGCGAAGAATAGTAAGGTCTTCTACAAGTATGTCAGTCACAAAAGGAAGATTAAAGAAGACATACAAACAAACACACCCTGATAAATAAGACAAGAAACGAATGGCAATGAATATGAAGGCTTGGGTACTCAACAGTGTTTTGCCTCAGGTTTAATGGTAAACACTCTTACCACATCTCTTGGGGCCCTGAATGTTAAGGCAGGGACTGGTGCAATGAAGTCCCTCTCATCATAGTTCAGGTTCGACTACGTGAGGAACCTGAACATACACAAGTATATGGGACTTGATGAGATGTGTCCCAGGGTCCTGAGGAAACTGCCTGATGTAGTTGCCAAGCCACTCTTAAGCACATATGAAAAGTCCTGGCAGTTAGGTAAAGTCCCCAGTGACTGGAGAAAAGGGAATGTTTATTAAAGGTAATAAGGAGGACCCTGGGAACAGCTGACCAGTCAGCCTTACCTCAGCTGAAGTTTTAAGAACATCACTCAAATATCAAGTCTTGATTTTCTTAAGATGACTTGAAAGCATAATCATGATAATCTGAATGGAAGTTAAATAATTACTTCCTTGACAAAACATATCTGTGGAAGTGCTCTCATTTAGAATTGAATTTCAGATTTTCTGTGTTTCTTGAGAAAAATAAGGATCAGTCAAAATCACATTGTGTTGGTACTTTTCTGGAAAGTATTAATAAATTTTGAAGAGAGCAAAAGGCAAAATTCATAATCCACAAAGATGTGAACTTCTCTCTTGTTTTGGTACAAACACCTTTTTTCTTAACCTCTCTATGTAAAATATGGCAATGTCAATTTAAGCAAAAATTTCCAAATTAGTAGAGGTACAGTATTGTACAATTTTCCATAAAAAGGAATAAAACAACTAGTAGGCACAGATTAACCAAGTGGAGGACCAAGACCAAGACTCTCTTACTCTCCACTGAGCAGTGGGAGATATAATAGCCGAATTGTGAAATGTTGCATCTCTATGGTTGTGTATCCTCTTGCACCTCATTAAAACTGTATGAGTGTATATCCCTGGTAGAGTAATTAAAAAATTGCACTCATCACCATTACTTGTCATAGTGATGATGGCTATTTTATGTTCTGCAGAGATATACTTGTAATTAGTTCCCTTGTTTTAACACTGAAATTTCGGTCTTTGTGGTAGGTTTTCCCAGTCTGAGTCTGATTTCTTTGACTTTTCAGTTGTAGATGCATTGCTCAATATTTTCACAATGTGAGAGAGAATAAACTTGTGTGCTGAATTTTCTTCCTGTATTGCATTACTTTGCACAGGAAATCTGCCTCTGTCTAAAGCTAAGCACAGTGGGAGTACATGTGTGGTGTGGAATAAACCTCAATCAACTTGCTTACAATATGGAGTGTGACAGAGTCAAGAGCAGAAGGTGGACTGCCTGAATCCAAGCCTAAATTTTAGGCTTGATGGTAGCCTTTCTTACTTTGTCTAACCCCAGTGGCTCAAGTGAGGAATCTGAAAGCAGAAAATGCAGGGTCTGGCATACTTCTGTATTTTGGGGCTGGATTCCAGTCCCTGCCACATGTCTGCATGCTGTGGCACACATGTTCATTTTAAAGGCAAGAAAAAATGATGTGAGGTCTGCTGCTGTCTGGGGAGAGGATGCTGCTCCATCCAAGCACATGACCCGAATGGACTAAAAGTTTTTTGAGTACATCAGTTTTGTTTCTCTGCTAGGAAGAGGATTGACCCCTACAGTTTAGACATTAAATAGAATCATAGAATCATAGAATGGTTAGGGTTGGAAGGGACCTTAAAGATCATCTAGTTCCAACCCCCCTGCCATGGGCAGGGACACCTTCCACTAGACGAGGTTGCTCAAAGCCTCATCCAGCCTGGCCTTGAAGACATCCAGGGATGGGGCATCCACAGCTTCTCTGGGCAACCTGTTCCACTGCTTCACCATCCTCTCCATGAAGAAATTTTTCCTCATATCTAATCTAAACCTCCCTGCTTTCAATTTAAACCCATTACTACAAGCTCTTGTAAAAAGTCCCACCAGCTTCCTTGTAGGCCCCCTTCAGATACTGGAAGGCTGCAATAAAGTCTCCCTGGACCTCTCTCTTTTCCAAGCTGAACAAGCCCAATTCTCTCAGCCTTTCTTCATAGGAGAGGTGCTCCAGCCCCTCTGATCATAGAACTTAATAGAACTTAATTGCCATTAATAATAAAATTTTTAAACCTAAAATACTGATTTTAAAATCTTGTAAAATCATTGGTTATTTTAGGTACTGGAGTGTTCTACAGTGTTAAGAGATTTTATAGTCTTAGCAGTTATTTCACAGTGCTGCAGTGATATGTATCAGTGGTGTCTTATGCAATTGTCTTTCTGCCAGCTCATAGACCTGTTGCCATTGTTTCCCATAGAAACTAAACATAACAGTATAAATATGAATAGGAGACAAGATGATTACAGGAGTGACTCACATTAACTTACATCTTTAAAAAATAAATTTTGGACAAGGCTTAAACCGTTGAGGTTCTCTTACAGCAGTCTGATGCCAAACATGCAATTTCAGTGAAGAGGAATGTGTAGAGTTTCTTGTCCAGAAGGTGACTTCAAGTATATTCTACTTCACATGATTATTCAGGCTTGATCTGAACAAACCAAACTGAAGTAAAGTAAAATAAGATAAAATCACAAGTCCTTCACAGAAGAATCTGTTCAGTTTATTATAGAAAAGTAATGTAGAATCATGTGTTCCTAATATATGAAATGTATTTCACCTGACTTGATGATGCTTTTGACAATAAAAAGATCACAGTTTCTGGCGATAGACCAAAGAGGAATGATTCAGGCGAAAAGAACAAGTTTTTCCTATTTGTAAGAAGCATCAAATTATGTGGTAAATGTGTATAAAATAAGTGTTTAGGTAGGATGACAGTAAAATTGTCACATTCTAAAGTGGAGAAAAAGGCAAATGTAGATATTAGAGGGGAAAGAATACTGAACTAGGATTTTTTAAAAGTTTTAGCCTAATTCCACAGATTTTGAGGAACGTCTTGTGAAAATTTTGTTTCCCATGCCTGTCTGGCTTATAGAAATTACCACCTTGGGAATAGAAAATGGTTGCCTTTGCCTTAAATTAATTCAGTGATCAAATTTTGAATTATGCTGGAGTCTGTCAGGCACTAAAACACTTCATGTTAACTTCAAGTAATGTTGAACACACATGTTTTGCCAAACATTCCTTCCAGAAACTGTTTCTGAAGAATGTTCCAATTGAAGTTCATGTATAATAGAATCCATAAATATCTTTGCAAACAGTCAGGTGATTTCACCTACTTGTTAAATTATCTAAACTGGAAGTGAAAGGACGCCCTAATCACTACTGAACAGACCACATTTATATTGGTCTTTTTTCATATATTTTGCAGCTCTTCGAGATGCTGGAAAACAGTCAATCAATAGTGACTGGAAGATAGAGCACTCAGGAATATTCAATATTGCTGGGACCACTGTCCATTATGTTCGGAGAGGTCTCTGGGAGAAAATATCAGCCAAAGGTCCCACAACATCACCTTTACATTTATTGGTATGACAATATGGATTGGCGTTTTTTTACCTAATTCCTGTCATACAGCATGGTAATTAATATTTTTTTCCAGGCTTCTGAAGATGATGAGATCTATGTAAGATATGCCTGCTTTTACATATATATATATAACTGTCAACCCACTTCTAAAAAAATGCCTTTAAATCCAAGAATAATCTTTACATATCTTCTTGGTCTTTAATCTTCTTGAGGCAGGTTGAAAGGCCTCAACATTCCTACAAATGTCATAAAAAGCTGCTGTACTGCTTAAGGAGAGAGATTCAAATCAGATGGTTTTGTCCTGGCTGACTATAGCACACATCACCATTTCAGGGTTGCAGTCACCAAGTTCTCCATGAAGAAGTACAGTTTTGATGTATTTCACTGTGGGGAAGAAAAGTTGATAGCCACCAGAAAGAAAGAAGGAGAGATAATGAAGAAGTACCTCACAATTCAAAGTCCCTAAAATGCAAGAAATTGTCTGGTAAATCTAAAGTAGTTTTAAATCTGATGTATCTATCAGATGTATCTTTCTATGTAGAAAGACTCTCTATTAAAGAGCAACTGGAACATAATAATCCTTCAGATTGGTGGTGATTTTTTGTTTATTTCACATGGAGAGCTTTTCGACTTCTATGTTAAGTAATTTTCTGATTTTCTTGGTTTGGGTACTCTCATTTATTTCTTCTACAAAATCCATCAGGAGTCTTGAAAAGCTATAAAGCATGAAGTCATTCTTTCATGCATTTCAAGATGATCTCAGAGTCCGGAGTTTGTCTTCCACAGTGCTTGTGTACATAGGTAGGTTTTTCTTCTCTGTATCTTGCAGGTGCTACTCTTCCATGACCAGAGCTATGGTCTACACTATGAGTACACAATCCCATTGGATCCTCTTCCTGAGAATCAGAGCTCTAAAGTACCAGAGCCTCTTTTCATGTGGACTCATTCTGGCTGGGAGGACTGTGATGCTGTATGTGGAGGAGGTAAAATAAAAGAAAAATGTACAAAAAGACAGACAGACACAAATATATCAAAAATGTATAGAGAATATTCATGTATATAAACTATATATATGTGTATACAGTAGCATAGAGTCATAGAATGGTTAGGGTTGGAAGGGACCTTAAAGACCATCTAGTTCCAACCCCCATGCCATGGGCAGGGACACCTTCCACTAAACCATGTTGCTCAAAGCCTCATCCAGCCTGGCCTTGAAGACATCCAGGGATGGGCACAGCTTCTCTTCTCTGAGCAACCTGTTCCAGTGCTTCACCACCCTCTCCATGAAGAACTTCTTCCTGATACCTCATCTAAGTCTACCCACTTTCAATTTAAACCCATTACTTCTTATAAAAAGTCCCCCTCTAGCTTTCTTGTAGGCCCACATCAGGCACTGGAAGGCTGCAATAAGGTCTCCCCAGAGCCTTCTCTTCTCCAGGCTGAACAAGCCAAATTTTCTCAGGCTTTCTTCATAGGGGAGTTGCTCCAGCTCTCTCATCATCTTCATGGTCCTGCTTTGGACTTGGTCCAACTGTTCAATATCCTTCTTACGTTTGGGGCCCCAGAGCTGGATGCAGAATTGCAGGTGGGAGCTCACAAGAGGAGATGGGGAGAATCGCCTCCCTTAACCTGCTGGCCACACTTCTCTGGATACAGCCCAGGATATGGTTGGCTTTCTGGGCTGCCAGCGCACACTGCCGGCTCATGTTCAGCTTTTCATTCACCATTAACTCCGTGCATGTACAATACGCATGTATATGTATATATATTCTGTGTGGATATATATCACTTTCAGTTAAAACTCATGGTGTATAAATATTTAAGACTCTGATTGTCAGTGTTGTATATTTAATATTAATGTCCTCATTATGGCTTGTATGATTCCATTCAGTGTTGGACATTCTTCAGTCACATGCCTCCTGATTATATTAAAAGAATAGTGATTAACTTCAGAAAAATATTCAGACTAAATAAATTAAGTAGAAAAAGATGGTAATGCAGGAACAAAATCTACATTAGCGAAGGAAATTCAGGACACAGTTTCTGAGAAGAAATAGAAGTGCAAGAGCTAGAACAAGAATAGAAAGTTCATATGCATTCCACTCTGTACTTGAGCCTATTGAAGATAAATTATCTGTAAAAGACATTTCAAAACTACAGAAAAGCTGAATTCCCATCTCAGATCAAATATGTACAATTAGTAACATGACCTGGGGATGATCCAGAAACATATGGGACAAATATTACAAAGGCATATATTAGTATGCTGATGTGGTATTTTTCCTGTGTTTTTGTTTATAAACCATTAAAAATGCGAATTTGGAAGAACAAATTATGATTATGAAAACAAATACTGGAACATGAACAGTATTGTTGTAACAAAATCCTTTAAAACTGCTATTTAAAAGACAGTTATTCAAATAAATGATTACACTGAAAAAACTCTGAAGAGTTTTTTTAATGAATGCAACCCGCTCGTGCCATGTGCAATTAGTCAGTCTTATCTCTGTGAATACTACATCCATTTTTGATACCTATCTATCCTTCTTATAACCTTGACACTTGTGGTTGTCTGATCAGCACTCCTGAAAATTTCTGTGCACCTTGTGATTGAATAAGAAGGCCTGGAAATGCTTTTCGTTCTCATAATAGCAGCATAAGAACACAGTGTTCTATCTCCTTTGACTCTGTGAACAATCTTGGTGTCATGACAGATTACTGTAGTTTCCATAAACATGCTTTTTGTGGTTTGATAAGAAAGCTTCTTCCCTGAAGGTATTTTGTATGTGGTGCTTGTAGCATCCTCTGTTTCCTAGTAGTGTATTCCTATTCCCTTGGAATATTCATGCTTTTTCCAGTTTCCTGAAGTAGTTTTAGAATAATTTTAAGTCTACCACAATCTCTCATTATTATCCCAAATATTTCTATCGTTACCTATTATGTTGAGAAGTCGTAAAAATCTGGTATGTCAGTAATTAGTTCTATATTAATGCTTAAATAAATATTTAAATGTTTTACTATAATGTTTATTATCATATTTTTCTGTTGTAACTGGCCTTCATTTTATTTTATTGTCTAAAATAGCTGAGTTAATACAAAGTTCCATAAAGGGTATTTATACTGCAAATATTCTGAAATACAAGTGAAAGATTTTTCTCACTTTGGACAAAATAATTTTAACTGTTCTTTTAGTTCTTAGCTTAAATACAAAGCAATAACGAAATTAAAATGCTGCAGCTTGTACCCTGTGTAAATATTTGTGTTTCAATTTTTAACATCAATGTCTTGTTGAGTCTGATTAAAGAATATAACAATTACTGGTAGTTTTGCTTAAATACTTGCAGTATGTGTCAGGATGGAACTATTGATGAAGCCCTGTGGTTTCATGCATCTTTATGTATGTAACTGGTCTGCAAGCCTCTGCACTATAGAAAAGCCTTCTTAGTATGGGGGAGAATATGAATACATAGATCTATATGTAAATGCAGAAGTAATTATCAAGTATTTCAAATGCTGTATGTGATAGTTTAGTTGCATGTCCTATCATGTACACACATGCTGCGTAAAATGTCGGCTGTGGTCACACACACAATGCACATTTATAGTTTAACTGCTCTGGGCACAGTGGTCTTGTGACCACTGGTGAACACTGTAAGCTTGTCTGCCCAACTCCTGCACACTCCATGCTGGTAAACTTCCAGGTAGAAACAGAGTGTTAAAACATAACCATAGGAACAAAGAGCTCCAAAGAGTGAACCTATTTTTTATTAATTCAAGGATTGCTAGTTTTCTACAAATTAGGCTCCAGTCTAATTACAATTTACTGCTTGCAGTAGGTATTACATTAACAATTCTGATTTCCAATGCTTCCAGCTTCAAGAGACGCCATGCTCCAACCCACCATCAGGGCAAGGTTTCTAACAATATGCACTAGGTCTCTAGAGGCAGCACACAACTTTCTAAATTACTACCCTACAGATCAGGTCAGTTTTGTGGCCCCTTTATTTCATAGGGAATAATGCAGTCTCCTTACCAAAGGATGCATGTACTGATTCCCTCCAGCTGAGTGCTGACGCTAAACCAGGCAGAACTACTCAGCTCAAGCAAGACAGGGAAGCAGGACTTGTCATTCCTTTTCTTAATATATAAATTATTTAACAACCATACCTTTCAACGTAATTTTTCTGCAAGCTTTTCTCAACACTGGGATCTCAGTGATTGAGAAAGAAACAATTGTTCCAGGAAGACTAAGGTTTTGGCTAGTGACTTGTTACTGGAATAAAACAGCAAAACTCAGTCGTCAGTGGTGCGCAAGGATTGGATTAGAAAAATCACATTTTCTCTACAAACTTTGATATCTCTCTTGGGCTCTCTGCTACGTTTGATTTTCTTGTACAAGTTTTACTGTTCTTTTAGCCAAACTGTACATGAAATAGCTGTATCTAATATTTTTAAACGAAGTTTCATATTCCTGGTTTCCCACATACCTGCTTTATTTTTTTCTAGGTGAAAGAAAGACAATGGTCTCTTGCACTAAGATTATGAACAAAAATATCAGTCTTGTGGACAATAAGAAGTGTAAATATTTAACAAAACCTGAACCGCAGATCCGCAAGTGCAATGAGCAGCCATGCCAGACCAGGTAATAGTGATTTGGTTAAATTAAACTGTAATATCTAGAAGTAAAAATCTTAGGGGCTAGGAAAGATGACTTCCTCTGGCAATGAATATGCAGTAAATGCATACATCCAGTAATGCAAA